TTCTGATAAGGCTGTGCCTGGTTTCCATTCTGCACTGGTCATTTGGCTTTTATGCTTAGAGTCTGAGTTAATAATTATAAGACTGATGATTCATGCTCTGAGGAGGTAGCATCTCTGCTGGGATTACAGGCTGTTTTCCACCAGCATCCTCTCCGTGCCCCTAACCTGCCCTGGGCACTGCCGCATATGTCTGCAGACTCCTGTTAGCCGTGCTGCTTGCTTGTTGACCTTCCTCTCCAGCCCAGTGAGTGCTCACTTGCAGCTCCACACATTTCAGATGGAAAAGAAAGGTCAGTTGCAATCAATTAGTTGTGTTTGAATATGACACAGCGTTATTGCTGACGTTGACTGAGCACCAACTTACACGCCCAGGACTCTCCTAGGGGCCTTAATGATTGATTTTGCTTCATACTTAGATAAATCCTGTGAAGTTATTAGTTTCATTTTGTAGATGAGTAGTCTGAGTTCATAAAGATTAAGAAACTTTCTCAGCGTCATTCAGTAACAAGCAAGTGTGGCAGAATTAGAATTTGAACTCAGACCTGTAAGCCCTGAAAACCCATGCTCTCTCTTAAGTCAGGGCCTCTCAAGCTTGAATTATTTGTATACTGCCCTGACAATGTTTGCCATAACAAAAATATTATTTGCTAAATATGTTTCTTAAAAGACTTGCACACACACACACACACACACACACACACACATCCTGTATCCGCCTCCCAAGTATCTGAAACTACAGGCATGAACCACCATTCTTGGCAGAACAACTTAACATTTAAATTTATAATTTAAATGTTCTGAGCGAGAACACTTTGTAATATATGCGATATCATGACTTTGATGAACTAGGTGTATTTTTTCTATTATGCACAAAAATTAACACACAGTGAACATGTAAGATAAGAATTTATCCATGTGCCACCAAAAATAACCCTAAAAGTGTGTAATACATTTTGGGAGAGCACTGCTCTAAGTCATGCTACTTTTAAATGATTTATGTGACTTTAAGACTCAAAGAAAGGAAGCATTATAACATTTATAGCCAAGCATACCTTTATTCGAGGTGTCACCGGGGAAGTTGTACTCCAGCATCAGTGCTGTTGCAGTTATCAACATGTGTTTGTTTTGGAATCCTTTTTTGGGAATGACCTGAGAAGTAGGCTAGAGTTATATTAGAAGAATGTACTACTTTTGAAATCAGGTAGTGTTTTGACTAGGGATGACACTGATCTTGGCCACCTAAATTGGGTCATCTAATTTTATTATGAAGACCTTTTACAATTTTTTCAAAACTAAAGAAAAAGGATAAAAAAATTTTAAACCAAAAGAGTACACTAGACTGATCTCTGCTCTTGCACAATGGGACTTCTGAAAGAGTAATCTATGCTCACTGTCTCGGTTCCCTTGTCCTTTCTCCTCAGCCTCCTGAAGGAAAAATCAGACATCCAAAACCCCCTAACCACTGCCTCCAAATTCATGCTCTTGCTTCAGTCCCATTCCTCTTAACCTTTCCTCAACTTTAGCATTGTTGATCATCCTTTCATCTATCCATCCAACCAATCAACCAGATAATAAATGTTTTCTGAGTATCTAAGTCTAAGGCATGTGCTAGGGTCTGGAAAGAGAGAGAGAAGCATGGTCTTTGCCATGGTAAAGTTCCATTCAGAAGAGGTAAACATGAAATAACTAATCACATGATTACTTAGGCACAAATGTGATAAATACCACACACAGAGAAATATTAGATGCTAAATGAATACCAAAATATATAATATAGATAGATAGATAAGTAGATAGATAGACACACATTTGTGTGTTTACACCCTCCATTCCCACACATAAACTCATGGAATAAAGCACAGTAAAGGTTAATACCACTGAGGCATTCTTTCTCCCAATCTTATGAGGATTCAGTTGGACACAGTAAGAACCTCTTTTTTTTTAAAACCAGAAAACTATGTGTCCTATAACTGACAGGCCAAAGACCTGCTCTAAAGGAATACTCTGGAAGCAATAAGCATAGGCAAGGACTTCCTCAGTAGAACTCTAGTGGCCCATCAACTAAGAGAAAGGAGGACAAATGAGACTACATGAAATTAAAAAGCTTCTGCACAACAAAAGAAATGGTCTCTAAATTGAAGAGATCACCCACAGAATGGGAGAATATCTTTGCCAGCTACACATCAGACAGAGGACTGATAACCAGAATATACAGGGATCTCAAAAAACTAACTCCCCCAAAATCAATGAACCAATAAAAAAGTGGGCAACTAAACTGAACAGAACTTTTTCAGAGGAAGAAGTGCACATGGCCAAAAAACATGTGAAAAAATGTTTACCATCCCTGGCCATAAAGGAAATGCAAATCAAAACCACAACTAAGATTCCACCTCACTCCTGTTAGAGTAGCTATCATCAAAAACCACCACCAACAACAATGTTGGTAAGGAGGTGGGGAAAAAGAACCCTCATAAACTGTTGGTGGGAATGTAAACTAGTACAACTACTATGGAAAACAATACGGAGGATTCTTAAAAAACTAAACACAGATCTGCCATATGATCCAGCAATACCGCTCCTAGGGATCCACCCAAAGGAATGCAACTCAGGTTATTACAAAGGCACCTGCACACCCATGTTTACTGCAACATTATTCACAATAGCCAAGCTATGGAATTTTATTCAGCCACAAAGAAGAATGAAAATTTGACATTCTTAGGTAAATGGATGGAACTGGAGAACATCATCTTAAGTGAAGTTAGCCAGGCTCAGAAGGCCAAAACTCTCATGTTCTCCCTCATATGCGGATTATATAAAACAAATGCAGTAATATTATTGGACATGGGTCACACACTAAGAGGAGAATGCACACAGGAGGAATATGGAAAGGGAAGGAAACCTAAAACTTGAATGTCGTTCATGTGTTCACTGTAGAGGAGCAAATATAGTAATCTTAAACTGGCAGAGGCCACTATGGGAAGGAGACCAGAAAGTAGTGAAGAGGTCTGGCAGAGATGAACCAATATGGGTTGTAATTCACATGTGCATAGAAGCAATGCTAGGAATTTCTCTGAAGAGTTACCTGCGTCTCAAACTAGGAAAAATGCTATGTCTTTCTTATTATCACCTACGCTTTCTCTTCAACAAAATCAGAGAACAAGAGGGCGGAACAGGTTCTGTCCGGAGGTATGGCAGGGGAGGTGGCCCAAACAATGTGTACACATGTGAGTAGATGTAAAAACAATAAAATAATAATCACAATAAAAAGACCTGCTCTATCTGCCTCTGCCCCAGGTGAACCCTAGATCCAATTGTGACATTGCTGGCACTCTTTCAGGGGAAAAAGCCCTAGGAAAGGAGGGAGAGAGGTTGAGCTTGAACCCAAGGCCTTGGGTGGTTGGGGGAGGTTGTGGGTTGGTGGGAAGGAAGGGAGATGACTTTTAAGGCAGAGATACTCCATCAGATCCTCTCTTTCCTTCACTTCCTGGACATCAGTTTCCCTCAGCCACACTCCTTCCTCTCCTCTGCATTGCTCATGCCACTCTGGTCTCCTTGGGTTTTGGTGTTTCCCATTGGTCTGCTACTTGGCCTCTTTCTATGGCCAAGCTAGATGTCTCACTACGCCTTCCACTACCATCCACAAATCCATGGCTTTGAGGCTGTTTTCCCCCTGGATAGTCAGCAGATAGCTCAGATCCAGCATGTCCTCAGCACAGTTCATTACTCTCTCACAAGCCTGGTCTGTCTCTCATATTTCTTAGGAGAGCAGTAAAAGGCCATTCATTCAGACTGTGAGCTCAAAGGCTGGCAGTCAGCCTGGACTCCTTGCTGTTCCTGCTCTCTTTCCTCCTACTGATTCTGCTTCAGAATTGTCTCTTGTTTTGCAATACAGTGCCCCAATTTCATCTCTTAACCTCTTGGCTGAGTAACTACTTCAATGCAAAGGATCTTAGCCATGGTGTCTGACACATCTAATTGTGAGCCCTGACTTGACTGCTTCGTGCTGTCTGACCTTTGGCAGGTTACTTAACATCCAAGCCTCAGGTTTATAAAACAGACACAAAAATATCTAGCTCATGGGATTATTTTGAAGGTAAGAGTGCTGCATACTCTGTCTGGTTCATAGTAATAACTCAATAAATGTTCACTCTTCTTATTTTTGTTACTGCTTCTCATGACTGCTGGAAAGATGAGATCAAGTCCGTCAAGAGCAATCTGTGTCTGACATGTAGTAATAACTGAGTAAATAGTATTTAATTCTTTCCTTGGATTTCTGGTTCTTCTGTACTCTGGTGCCTCTTTCAAAATATAAATCATTCCTATCATTTTCCTGATTTTAGCTCTCCATTGCTCAGAGAAGTGAGTCTGCACTTAATTTGGCAAGCAAAGCCTCCCCCAGTCCCATCCTGTGCTCTCTTCCCATCCTCCTAATATTCTGATCATGGGAGGATGCTTGGCTTTGGTAGCCATTCAGTTAGTGAATGAAAAAGCCCTGGACACAGTTCCCAAGAAGGTTCCAGAATTGTTTTCAGTACTATTGGGATTAAGGCACATTTTCCCAAGAGTTCTCCTTTGAAAAGGGCAGCATTAGTGTAGGTTTAATATCTGATATATTTATAAAGAAGTCTTTCCAAATGACTTGTAGACACCTGGAGAGAAAAGCCACCACACTTTATTAAACTGCTCTTTGGGATGACATATCTGGCATCTCTATAATCAGATCTGGGTCCATCTGTGCAGAGAGCATGGCACAGGCTGGAGGCAGATGGCATCTTTGAGATGTCACTTACAGTTGTCATAGTGAATAAGCAAAAAGGAAAGACAAGAAAGGAAACTCTTTGCTAATCTTTGCTTAGGTGACAAAGGGACCCAGAGGCAAAAGGAAATTTGCTTTATTGGTTCCTCAGAGAAAATGAGGGATGAAATGTTTTCTTTTCCTTCTGGACCAGGTGGTAAGTTAGCATCAGAGGGTTGTGTGAGTTCTTTTTTTTTTTGAGGGGATGGATGGTATGTTTGGACTAAGGGCCTCACACCTGCTACCACTCTACCACTTGAGCCACTCCATCAAGGGTTGTGTGAGTGAGCAGAGATGTCTGGAACTCTGAGGCTTTGAAGGGCAGCAAGGAGGAAGGAGCCAGGAATATTTGGAGCTTGTTCAGGCTGCTGTAAGAGTGGTACCAAAATCATCTTTATGCTACTCCAGGAGGTGAACTGATAGAATCATTGCCTCTCTTATGTTACCCATGCCCACAACTGGAGTATTTCTTTGACTGAAAATTTTCTGTGACCTGGGGAGAGATATTGATATAGACACTCGGGTATGTCTGCAGTTTTCTTGTTTTCCTCTTTCTGCCTCATTTACTAAAACATGACCTGAAGTTACCCAAGAGCAGGTCAGGTGAAACATAGAATCTAGGTATTGCTGTAATGGGATGATTTTGTAAAGATGTAAGGTCTTTGATGGGTAGAGATTGGTAGAACAAGTCAACCCAGACTTGGCCTTGGTTCTGGGTATAGAAGAAATGAGTTGACCTGTAGATGCCTCAGGTGAAGGCTTTCTTTCCTACATGGTGGTGGAGACGAGATTTACTAGAAGAAACAGTATCTAAGTTGAGCATGATCAAGATGAAGAATTCCCTTTCTCTTTCATCTTGATAGGAATCTTACCTGGGGTTTCTCAGAAAACAGAGCCAGAGGTTGGGGGCTTATATTTATTATCGAATAGAGAAGAATATCCCAGGAAGCAGGCATGTGAATCAAGAGGAGTAACAAAGGGAAAAGAGGGAAGCCAGTGTAAGGATGTTGTGCTGTAGTGGTCTCTACTGAGTAGGGGCGATTGTTCCACTGGTGTGACAGCATTACGGGAAGCTGTAAAAACTAAGTCTTTTAGGAAATCCCTCAAGGGGAAATCTCACTAGCTCCTGTCCCTGTGGGATTTTAACTTCCCTGCACTTCCAGGCTGCATGTGGGAGCCATAGTGAGGAAACCCCAGAATAGGAGGAAAGACAGTCATGTTGCCAAAACGTATGCAAGGCTGGCACAGAGAATGGGCGAGGCTGGGAGAGACCAAGGATCTGTAAGAGATGCCTGATTTGATGGGATGGCTTGAATTGGACTGTGGAATATTCCTGTTGGGTGAAATGAGGATTCCTTTCTTCAGGGCTGACACTATAGTGGCTTCTGTCTGCAGGGAGTTGTTTCCTTTCCAATCTTATTGTAAATGAAATTGTTTTCTTAATTCACTTTGAATCACTCATTTCTAGTGACTTTTGTGCATTAACCTTGTATTCTACAACTTTGCTGACCTCATTGCTTAGCCTTAATCATTTCCCAATGCTTGAACGCGTAAGGGTTTTCTATATAGAAGGTTATGCCGTTTGTTAATGGCGATAGTTTTACTTCAGGAAATTTAATTTTTAAAGAAGTGAAAAGCTAGATCCCCCTCTATCCTCTACTGTCTGAACAACTTTCTAGGGGTTGGTTGCCTGGGGCCATTGGAAACTGTGTTACCTCTGAGAACCATGACCTGTAAGAATTTGACTTCCTACATTACCAAATTCATTACCTGAATATATGCTGATTACTTCAAAGAAGCAGAGTCCAGAGAAATCATGGCTTTTTATAGTTCTGGATTACATGACTTCTATTAAAGGAATCCTGGGAGAAAGCAGAGACCTTTGGAGAATTACTTAGTTTACCCCAAGCTGCTCTTGAGGAATGGTCTTGCATGGTGACCTATGTCATCTTCCTCTTGGGAACAGCAGTGACTCAAATGAGTGCCCCATCACCTGTTGGAATAAGGAAGACAGATTTGGATCTCACCTTGCATTTATAGGGGAGATTCCACCTTGGTCTTGGGACTCATTCAATCCCACCTGAGTAGACCACCACTGGCATCCAGTAGTCCTTCAGGCTAATCACGGGTTGGAGCTTATCCATCCTTTTCTGCCCAGTCAGGCAGTGGGCCTGACTCATTCACGATGACAGGAAGTTGGTAATTGGCCTTAGGTAACTTATTTATTATCTGAATCAGAACATGAGTGGTAACCAGCAGAGATAACCAGCTGGGCTGATAAACTGATCTCCATTACAGTTTTTCCAAAGCTCATTGATGCATTTCAGAAGCTGACTCTCTCTCTCTCTCTTTTTCTGTTCTAGAAACAGTGACGGAAATTAATGATGTATCAGTGTTCAATAACACCTGTATGAGGTGGCAAATTAGCTCAGGAAGAATAGACTCTAAGATTGAATATGTGGTAAGTGAAAAGATCTACTTCTTCCTGGTGGGGCAGAAATAGTAACCCATGGGAATGTGAGTCAGAAGGACTTACTTCCATAAGAACTTCTCAGTTTAAGAGCTTTTCAGTCCCCTTGCTATGGAAAAAAAAAAAAAAGCAAAAGGAATTTTCAAGCTAGCTAGATTATTTATTTATTTATTTGGCAGTATTGGGGTTCACTCTACCATTGGAGCTATGCTTCCAGCTTTTTTTTGCTTCAGTTATTTTTCAAGTAGGTTTGCCAGGGGCTGACCTCCGAAGGCACTCCTCCTGATCTCCACCTCCCAAGTAGCTGGGATTATAGGCATGAGAACATGCCCAGCTTGCTTTGTTATTTTATATTTAATGTTTAAGATATTTGTGACTCAACAGGGTGTATATGTGGGGGGATGCATTTATATTTGGCATCCTTGTTAGTGCTTATTTCCATGCACTTGTACTTCACTTCTCCTGAGCAAGCCTGGAAGCATGAGCTGATGTGGTGACAGAATCCAGCAAGCGAGCAGTCCTCAGGTTGGGACTGCGATCCTTTCTTTGTGGGCAGGATAGCACTCCCAGAGAGAGTCCTGATTTACATCACTGCTCAGGGTTTAATGCTTACAGGGGTGGTAAGGTCTTCTCTTTGGAACTCCGATGCAAAGGTCGACCTTGCTTATCCTCTCAGGCTGAGCAGTGCTGTGTCAGATGGGTGGTAGGAGGATAGGATTCAGCTGAGGTCTCAGTTGTTCTGACCGGGGTCATGGTGTTCTCTTTCCTTTCCCAAAGATATACATAAAAGGAAAACGGTTGGCCCCTGTGGAGTCAGTTCATGAAGAGACTATCAACTTGACCACAGACAGCAGGACCCCACAAGTGTGCCTCGACTTGCATCCAGGCACCAACTACACCGTGAGCATTTCCACAGCCCCTCCCAGGCGCTCTGTGCCCGCCATGCTTGGTTTCCAGACATCTGGTAGGTAGAGGGGAAGCCTCATTTCCTCCTAGAGAGTGCTGAGCACGGGTGTGGGAACAGCATCAGCATCAGCTGAGGTTGTGCTGGGCTTAGGTGGGGGAGGATGCCGTTACTCCAGGGGTCAGAAGCAGAGCAGGTCCAGCAGGGGAGAGAGTCTTACTCTGTTGGCACCAGGCTGAGTGGCACTGGTGTATTGGTTCTCTGCTGAGTCCTCAGGTGGGCTGAGACATTTGAAAGAGAACGTTAGGTCATGATGCAGATGATTTGCATCATGATTTTGGATGCAGATATCCAAGGCAGCAGAGGGTCGTGCATCTTACCTTTGGTAGTAAATCCAGATGCCAATTTTCTTTGTTAGCACTGGGGTTTGAACTCAGGGCTTCATGCTTCCATGCAGGAGTTCTACCGCTTGAACTACACTCTGGCCCTGTTTTTTTGCTGTTGATTATTTTTCAGGTAGGGTCTCATAGTTTTTGCCTTGACTTGAACTGTGGTCTTCCTACTTATACCTCCTGAATAGTTGGGATGACAGGTACACACCACCGTGTCCAGCTTTTTTGTTTCTGTTGTTGTTAAGATGGGATCTCGCTAGCTTTTTGCCCAGGCTGGCTTCAAACCATGATTCTTCTTATCTCCGCATTCCGAGTACTTGGGATTACAGGTATGAGGCAGCAGGCCCAGCTTGTTTTTCTGAAGAAGCTTTAAGAAGTAGTAAACTTCATTGCATGTAATTGTTACATGGACTTTTTTAAAAGCAGCATTGTGACAATTACAGTAGATTAATTTAAAAAAAATTCTTATTTAATAATACCTTATAGACAAAGCTTAACATACCATTGGTGTCACTTATTATTTTGAAGGAGTTAAGTTAGTTCTTAAATACCTGTTTGATGTCCTACTTATGAAAATATACCCTGACCCTAAAATATTGCTGCCACTAGGCATTGGGCAGAGATAATCAAAGTCTGTCAATCTTAACAATATAAAACCATCTATGAAATTACACAAATTGGGCCTCTTCTTGAGACTTGTATATAAATAAAATAAAATAATTTCTTTTGAAGTAATACATAGGGAAGATATGAAAATTAATATGTAATCAATTAGAGAAATGTTACACAATCAATAATAAATTGCCACGGATTTGTAGGGATATATCTTCTTTAAAAGATCATTTGTACCTGTGAGTCAGAATGAGTTTGCTGTTCAGTGTCAGTGTTTGTTATCTGGTGACCCTTCATGTGACTTTCCACTGGGAAAAATGTGGTCTTTGGAGTCATATAGACTTGGCTTTGCATCTCAATTCTGAGGGTTGAAGAGATGGGTGTGACCATAGCTGAGTTATTTAATGTCTCTCCCCTTTTTCCTCTGCCTGACATTTTAAATGGAGCTACATTAAATTTGTAGGTTAATCTAGGGAGAGTTAGGATTTTTATTGCATCATCCCAACTAGGAGGCAAATATATCTCCACCTTTCCTGGCATCTACTCCTGTCTTCTGCTCACTTACGCCCTGTTGTAAAGACTTGTCTTCCTCTCTCCATAGAGCCTGCACAGTTGCTGTTTGATTTCCTTATCAGGGTTTTGCAAGTTCCTTTAAAATTAAATAGAAAGCTTTCCATAGGTATACATTTTTTGCTCTGGAAAACTTTACACCACTTTGGAATTATTCCCTTCCTTTAACATTGGAAAGATTTGATCATAAGATTGTTTAAAGTTTTGCCCCTTTAGAGAGATGACTCTGACAACTTTGTCAATTTTTCTTTTCTTCTTCTTTTTTTTGGAAGTACTGGGGCTTGAACTCCGGGACTCGCACTTGTTAGGGAAGTGCTCTACCACTTGAACTATACCTCCAGCCTAACTTAGTCAATTTCTTCCATGATTTTTGGTCAGTTTGTTTTTCCTAGATTTTCTTGAGTCAATTTGTATAATTTATATTTCCCTTAAAATATCCATTTGTTTGGGATTTTAAATATATTAGCGCAATGTCATGTGGAATATTGGTTTATAGCCCCCTTGAAGCTGCAAATAACCCCAGGTTATTCTGATTCCTATTTTTGTTTTTCTCTTCCTTTAAAAATTGATTTCCATTTTTTTTTTTTTGTGGTACTTTGGCTTGAACTCAGGGCCTACACCTTGAGCCTCTCCACCAGCCTTCTTGTGTGGGTTTTTTCGAGATACTCTCATGAACTATTTGCCTGGGCTGGCTTGGAATAGCAGTCCTCCTGATCTTACGTTGTCTGCTTTATTATTCTTCTTTTCTTCCAAAGTATGAACTTTTGGGTTTTAAAAATTGTTTTCTCATTTTTAAACTCATTTTATTTCCATCTCCATGCTTCGCTTAAATTGTTTATATTGTCCTACTTCTAAGGTTTTTTTGTTTGGTGGGGAGGAGAGATAGTGTTTTTCTACATAGGCCAGCCCTGACTTCAAACTCTTGACCTTCCCACTTCCCCATCAAGAATGCTGGGATTATAGGTATGGGTTTCCATTTCTGAATTCTTGAGCTGGATGCATAACTCAACTTATTCCCATTCTTTCCTGTTTGATAGTAAAGGTCTTTCAGAGCTTCCTTCTCCATTGTGAATTTGAGCTTTGGTAGAACCCTTTAGGCATTGGTACATATTCTCTTTACTTTCAAGGGATTATAAAATTGCTATTCTGATTTTCCTTTGGGTTGAAAAATTATTTTGGAGTGTGTTCATATCTGTTCTCTTTATCCTTATTTTCAAAGCATTATATAATTGCTTTGAAATTTGACATTTCCTTTAATTGAAGAATTAATTATAATTGTGTCATACAAGTGGTAGTTTTTGTTGTTGTTTTTGTTTGTTTGAGACAGGGTCTCTCTATGGCCTTGAACTCGTTCGTGATCCTCCTACCTCAGCCTCCTGAGTGCTAGGATTATGGATGTGTACTACTATGCTCAGCTTACCTTTTTCTTTTTAATGTTTATACTTTATTGTTAATTTCTAGTTTCATTACATTTTGATACACTTTGAAGGATTTATTGACATTTTCTTGGGCATTACTACTTTGTCAAGTTTTTTCATTTCAGTAGCTGCCAGATAAGGTAGTATTTGGATGAAGGTGGAATGAGATCTACTTCATTAGGTTATTCAGAACTTCTGTTTTGTTTGTTTCTTGTTTTTCTTACTTGGATTGCCATTTTTCTCAGCTTTTCTTACAAATTCTAATTGGTTTGCCTCACTCGTGTTGATGTTATGACATTTAGTTCATGATGCAACTTACAGATTTTTTTCTCTAGTAGCAAATGGCTCACTTCTTTCTGTTTACTGTTGTTTGCTCTGAATTATACTTCAATAGGAATATTGGTTTTCTTGATTTCTTTGTGCTTATGTTTGCATGATAGGACCTCACCCCCCTTGTCTTCTCCAAAGCTTTCTGGGTAACACTGCTGGAGATGTACACCAGAGGTTAGCATGCTGACAGCCTTTCTGGAAAAAGGTTTGCTCCTGAGTAGATAAGTTAATAAGGTTACATTCTTGTTACCTGTGATACGATTTTTCCTTCCTTCTGACATCTTGCTTTAATTTTTATACTATTTTCCTATGTCTTTTGTTTTATCTCTTTTGCTGCATAGTTTCTTCTTCAGTGAGTCAGACAGTACAGATTTTGTTTTTATTCTACATTTGATCACATTAAAAAGAAACTATTTGGGTTTATACGTCTCTGATTCCTGTGTTAAAACTGGAATAATGTTAACTTCTCCCTGAATAGATGAGGAAGTTGCTAGAATTCTTGCTTTTATTTCTTTTCCTCTCCCTTTCTATATGTTGTCAGTTTAATGTGGCATTTTATTTTCATTTTCATTTTATTTTATTGATTTATAGCAATGTTTACAGCAGTTATTTAACCCAAAGTATATGTTTTAAGTTCCAGTGCTTTCTGCCACTGTTTTTATGCCACTTTCTCTGTTTTCACTTCTCTGTCTGACAATCTGCCTTTTCCTCACCTTGGGGATGTGTTACTTTCTGAACCCATGATTTTCAGAAAATCTCTTTTTTGTCTTCACAGGTGGATGAGAGCTTGAGTGAAGATAAAATTCTTGAGTCATAAACTTTTGTTCTCAGAATTCTATAAGCAATTCACATTGACTTTGGCAATTTAAAGCTTTTGACTTTCTTTCTTCCTTCCTTATTTTGGGGGGTGGGCCCGTGTTAAAGATTGAACCCAGGGGTTTGTGCATGCTAACAGGTGCTCCACCACAGAGCCACATTCTCAGCCTGTTTTTTTTTTTTTTTTAAATCTTATGTAGGTAATCTGATTTTCAGCTTGGATATCATAAAGGCTTCCTTTAGCAATCAATTCAGGACATTAATTAATAATTTATTTATGTACCTTATAAATGTCTACTGATTACTTATTATGTGTCTGGCATTGTAGATAGTGGGAGTTCAAAAGTGAATGAGAGAGAGATCTCTTTTCCTCATGAAATGTCAGTTTGTGGGGATTTAAGTGTTGATGTAGCTTCCTGAATTTTCCTAATTAGTGATTTTTTTATCTTTAGATTTTGGTCTAAATACACACTAGGAACGTTTTCTTTTATTGTCTGTGATCTGTGCTTTTTGTCTTAAGGTTTGTTTTGACTCTTCCAATACTCTGATTAATGTCCGTGTCTTTTCCCTTTGCCTTCTGGGAGGATGTATCAAGTTTGTTTTCCACTGCATTTCTATGTGCTCCTATGCATCGACATTTCCAGTCCTGAGAGCTTTAGCTTTTCCAACCCACTTTCTGTTGTGTACTTTCCTTTCGTCCCCCACCCTCTCATCTACTTCCCTTTTCATTTCTGCCTCTCTCTACCAGTTTCCTTTCTACTACCACATTTTTTTAGTATCTCGTCCTTCATGTGTTGTTAGAATCTGTCCTCACTAGTTTGTTCGTTTGTTTGGTAGCACTGGAGACTGAACTCAGGGCTACCACTTGAGCCACACCTTCAATCCAGCATCCATTGTTAAATGTTTTTGTTAAAAGTACAAAAATAGGTGCTGCCTAGTTTTACCATCATTTTGCTCAATTCTTTTTATCAAACCAGGTGCTTCCTAAGCCCAGTCTCCCCCTTCTTCCTTCTCCTCTTTTTTTTTTTTTTTTTTGCCGTGGGGAAAGAATCTCATTTACTTATCTTGGGAAGATGAAAGTTCTGTCTAGGACTGATATTTCCTCATAATAAAACGGATGGCATTCCCTTTGATCTCATGTTTTACTGGCTAATGTTAGTATGCTTTTCTCAGATCTCCTTGTGAAGGATCTACTGCTGGTTGGGTAAGCCGACCTCCTTTGGGGAGCAGCTGTGGGGAGGCTACTGCCCTGCGCTTTGTTTCTGAGCACCTTGCTATCTTGGCACTGCCTGGCTTCATTATGGTGCTGTAGCACTGAGGTAGCAAAGCAGTGAGTCTCTCCTTCCATCAACCCAGGCTTCCTGTCAAGAGAGTCCTCTGGATCCCAAGATCTCTGCTTTGAAGTCCTTCTTACTGCTGATCTCCAGTGTGCTAAGGAATGACTATTAATATTATTATTAACAACAATAGGAATGGATATGCATTTTTCCCTGGCTGCCTATCAGAATTTCCTGGTCATTTTAACACACACACACACACACACACACACACACACACACACACACACACACACGTCCAAGCATTCCTTCAGATCTGCTGCATCTGGGTAACTCTGATGGTTCAGTCTGGTTTAGGAGTCACTGGGCTGAATGGCTCCATAAGAAAACTCATCGCTGATCCGTCCTGTGGCCTGTCTGGCTTCCTCCTTGGGCTCCAGTTCTCCCCAGTTCCTTCCTTTGAAATTTGGAGACCATGATCCTTTGGGTAAGAGGCAGGTTGCATGGAAGCTCTCTGTCTCCCTTCAGCCTGGTCTTTTCTACACTATGCTAAGCAGAAATGCCGTCATGTGTCTTGTATATGGCAACCACCTTTCTTTCCAACACAGATGCAAATTTTGACCCATTTTTACTTATTCTCAGTCACTTATGTCAGCAGTGGGTGTAGAAAGTGGAAGCCAGATGCCTGTGTTCACATTACCATCTTCCCCTGAACTCAGACTGTAATGGCTATATTATGTATCTCGAGTGGGAACTGTGCAAATGGTACTTCTGCTCATGTGTACAGACATAGACTTTATGTACTGTCTCCTATGTACATGCTTACATACATTTCTTATGTATACATTTGGTGTTCTCATATTAAATGCATACACGTGTCTATTTTTTTTTCTCCGATGTCTTAAAAAGTGTGAAATTCGGGCACCCGTGACTCACATCTGTAATCCTAGCTACATGGGAGATTGAGATCCAGAGGATTGTGGTTCATGGTCAGCCCAAGCAAATAATTCGAGAGACCCTATCTGTAAAATAACCATCTTCAAAGTACCAGAGCCACACTGCAGGTGTGGCTCAAGCAGTAGTGCGCCTGCTTTGTAGGTGCAAAGCCTGAGTTCAAAACCCCAATCCCACCAAAAAAATGAAAAGAAATAAAAGTTGTGAAGATAGAGGAGAACACATATGACAGGTTTTCTAACTCTCTCATAGCCACAGTTTTACCTTTCCCATTTACAGTCAGGAATGTTTTCTCTCAGTTAATTGCCCTGTGCTACATATGCTAGTGATATTGAAGATGCTGTGAAAATTCTGATTTTGACAGAAGAATTTGTTGCTATCATTAATACATCTTGGATGGCAGAGACTCCCGTGTGAGAAATGCCCACTTAAAGGTAGTTGTAAAATAGCTTCTTTCTTAAAAAGTTTTAAAGTAGACATTTAAACTTTTTTGGGGGACTGGAGGTGCATGCAGCTCAGTGATAGAGGGCGTGCTTTGCATCTGCAAGACCGTGGGTTTGATTCCCCAGCATCACAAAAAGCAAGAAACCCCACCCTATTTTTTTCTATTGGTAGAAAATGTAGAGCCTTGTTTATTAGGAAGTTTGCTTTTCTTCTTTAAAAATTACCATGTTACTCCTGGGCTCTCTGTTGAGTTCCTTAATTCATTGTAAGAAACCTCTTCTTTTTGACTACATTAAAACAATAAAACATTGCAGTGACGGTTTTGATGGCAGGAGATTTGAGGTGAGTCTATCTGATGGTTGAAACAGTCTGCATTCTGATGTTTTTATTACCTTAGCTGAGCACTGCAAGTGCCTTTGCAAGTACTGTGTTCTGTGAGAGTGAATTTCTTCTCACCTGTTTATCTCTTTGCTGGTCATTTGTCAGGATGGAAAGTGCCAGCTCTGAGACTTCACCCATGGCCTTGATTGTTATTCATCCTTTTCCTTGTTCCCAGAATTCCTGCTTACTGGTATGGGTACTCATGACATTTTACTATGGACTATCCAAGTGATAGAGTTGACTTTCTACCTGGATCCCAGCTTATTTGGTTACAGCAAGACTTAAATACTGCATTTGGCTCTCCCAGTAGCCTGTGGTGTAAGAAGTTGTGGATTTATTGCCATACATCATGGCGGACATTTGTTATCCCAGCACTCAGGAGGCTGAGGCTGGAGGTTCATGGGTTCAAGGTCAGCCTGGGCTACATAGTGAGTTCCAAGCCAAAAAAAGTTTTAGAGCCAAGGCTTGAAGCTAAGTTTGCTGATGCCGAATTTAATGCTGTTCCTGTTAAACATCCTAGCAGCTCTGTCAAGGTGTTAGAGTTCACTTGTTCTTAGTCCTGGTGTTTTGCTAAGATGATATGGCCTTTCTGTGTGTTCTCTCTTGTCTTTTAGAAGATGAGCTCTTAGAAGATGATGGAATTTTCAATGTTTCAATATTGAATGAAACTTGTTTGAAATTGGAAAGTCATTCTAGGAAGGCTGGATCAGAACAAATGTACCAAGTAAGAAGATCTGTGCTCTCTGTCGTAGAATTGGTCAGTTTAAACTTTGCATGATCTCCAAGTGGGTATCCAGAGTGTTTAAAAACTACTAATGGAATGAACTTCTAGACGTTTTATGGTTTTGTTTCCAGAGATGGATGTTAGACATGAGATGGATATGAGGATCTAAATGAAAGACACCGTATTTGGTGACTCTCTCTCATTTTCGCTGCCTGGTATTTCACACTTCTATTATATTCTAGCGCATTTAATAATCATAGCTTATTTCACCATCAAATCCATATTTTTGGCATGGTTTTTAAGGAACTCATTGCATGGCTATCAGCTCTGATTTAACTTGATGTTTCTTTTGAACACCACAAGTCAACTCCTGAAGTAAATTCAGGCAGAAATTGTGTCCTTTTGTGTCATTTTGCAGTGCCAACCAAATCATCTGGCAGAGAGCAGTAAGTAGTAAATTAAAATTAATTATGTATTCCATAACCATTTACAAAATAAATCACCTAGAGGGACCCAGAAGTAATTCAAATGAATAGAAATCTACAAATAGAGAGGTAACTTCAATATGGTATAGTGAATGCTTTGATAAAAAATAAATAATGGAATGGAAAGGCATGTGTGTGTATGTGTGTGTGTGTGTGTGAGTGTGTGTCCAGGTACAATTTTTTTAAATAAGAAGCAAAGACCATGCTGAGTCTAGAAAATGAATTGGAATTAGCCAGTCACAGGAGCTGGGATGACGACGGGAAGGGCATCGTGGGCCAGTAGAGTAGCATATTGTCTGAGGAAGCGAAGGCAAGTGGGAAAAAGATGAGGCAAAACCTAATCAGTGACCATGTCATGAGAAGCCCTGTGTGCTTGGATTTTATTTTGATGTCTACGTGGAGCCACCGAGGTTCTGTTTTGGTTTGTTTTTAGTGGGGTTGGGGATGGATTTGCCTTGCACATGCTAGGCAGGAGCTCTACCAAGGAGCTTCATCCTCAGCCCTTCCATGAGCCATTTTCAGCAGGCAAGTGAAACATTCAAATTTCCATATTAGAAAGAACCGTGGGGCTATAAATACATTCGAGGATCCAAATAATTTAATTTGTGATAAAGATGATTTTTCAAATCAGTAGACAAAGGAAGGTTTATTCAATAAATGACTCTGGGAAAACTAGTTAACTACTCAGTTAAGAAAATAAATGATTCTTACTTCATACCTGACACTAAAATGATTAAAAAGTGAGATTGAGAAAACTGCTATTTTTATATGTTAGACAAAGATAAATATATAACATGGAATACTCTTAAATCCACTGGGAAAAAAGTGGACATTCAAAAGCAGTTTATAGGGCTGGGAGCTTGGCTCAGGTGGTAGAATGCTTACCTAGCATGCATAAGGCCCTGGTTCAATCCCTCGTATCACCAAAAACAGACAAAGAAAAGCTGTTTGCATAAGAGAATATGCATATTGCCCAGGTACACATGAATACATGTTATAGCTTACTTGTAAGTGATCCCAAGAATAGGATCTCGGGGAGAACTGCTCTGATGACGTGAAGTGGAGGAAGTTCCCAGCAGTGAGCTCTAAGTGGCCAGTTTTGATGGCTTATGTATAAGGGCACAATTTATTCAAGAGAATTCAAGGAGTTAGAGAGAGGAATCTTTTGAGCCAGTTGTCATGGATGACCTGGAAGATTGATGGGGAGGACTCAGTGATTGACAGCGATGAGGAAGGGTGGGTGGAGGGTGGTCTGGCCAATAACACAAGCATCAATGGACTAAAAACATGGTCTTTACAGAGAATTTGCAGATTGATCGAGAGCTGGTCATACATGACTTCTAGGAATCTTCACTAGTGTTTCCACTAGAACTCCCTTTTTCTGCTGCTTGAGTGGCTGTGGGTTGAGTATGATTGGGTAAGCAGTGTGTATCTGTGGCCCCCACAGCTTGCTTATCTGAGCTTTCAGGGGAAAGATCAAGTGAAGTACCCTTGCACTATTGCTTTAAATACATAACCAAATACATAGCTTGCTCTTGTATTAAAAACGACTCTAAGATAAATGGAAGGAACTTTCCTGCTCTATCTCCGTTTTCCTTATAGTCTGGGCATCTATAAGACAGCAGGAAATCTAATGCAACATTCTCTTTTAATCTCATGACAGTTTCAAGTTCTGGGTCAAAGATGGTATCTCGATAACTTTCATCATGCAATTGCATTTAACTTGACAACGACAGAACGAGCTGTGGAAGTGTGTTTGGATCTGTACCCAGCCACCCATTATTCAGTGAATGTCACCCTACGGGGACCTCCTGAGCAGCACTCAGTGCAAATAACCATGACAACTGCGCCAACAGGTAGGGGTACATGCATTTCTGTCTTGTATCTCAAGACAACAAATTAAATATGTGAATGGAACAGTACAGTGTGGGAGAGCACAAAGGATGGAATTAAGAGCATTGGGTTCTAGCTCTAACAAGAAACCAGCTTCATCTGGGGTTCAGATGCGCAAATCTTAGCAGTTAGTCACTTCTCGACAGGGTTCTGGCTCATAGAGGCTACAGATAGAGAACAGGCTACTTTTCGGGGGATCCTTGGTAATCCTAGATTGAGAATTCTGTAAGGCCTTTTATCTCATGCTCCAAATTTGATACGATGCTAGCCCTAAGGGTATTATATGGACAACTGAAACCAACTTCCAAAAGACTGCAGTGTGATTCCCTACTGTGTTGGGCACTCGCAGAACCAAGGGGCCTCATGTTTGGGCCATGAGTGAGCACATTAACCTGATGTAGAGAGCAGCAGTCTGATGATGGTCAAGCTCCTTGGAAACTCTTCTTTGTGACCTTTTGTGGGAGCCATGTAGAGGCCAGTTGTGTTAACTCTACAGAACCTACCTCTTTCTCCCCTCTCCCTTGTCCCCCTTTCCCCCCCAACTTCTTTTGCTTTAGTTATTTTTCAGATAGGGTCTCACATTTATGTCTGGACCTCCCTGGACCATGATTTTCCTATTTATAATAGTAGTTGGAATGACAGGCATGCATCACCAAGTCCAGTGTTTGTTGGTTGAGATGGGGGGTGGGTCTCAATAACATCCCCCACTAGCCTTGAACTGAAGTCCTCCTGAACTCCGGTTAGGATTATAGGCACAAGCCACTGAGCCTGGCCAACTTTTATTTTTTTAATGGTGAGTCCATCCAAAATCTTCTTTTCGAGCTATTTTGAGATACATATGCATTATTGTTAATTATTTACCCTACTGTGCTATAAAACATCAAAACTTATTCTTCTCATCTGACTGTATGGAATGTTTTTTGATCCTGCATGTCACCCATGTTCAATAGTCTCCGTATCATTTCAGTTTGGAGCACACCTGTCATTCTTATAGTGGCTTTATGAGGCAGGTTTTCTAACTGCATGTACAATTTATGGTCCATGTTGACCTTAAAAATATTTCCCCATAACTGATATCTATACACATTATCTAAGCCCAGATAAAAGATAATAAAGACTATCAATAATTTAACATTGTGTTGCTATTTTTCCATAGAATGATAAATATTTAATAGGATTCTGTGGTTGTAGAGTTATATCTGCACTTTATCTGTTTCTCTTATGCATCATTAGCTTGCGGAGATCTTAGTTGTAGTTGGTGGGGCCAGAAATTGGCATATATTTTACATGGAATATCCAGTCATCTCTAATGCCACATATGGGGAGGGTAAAAAAATTTCTTTTAGGTTGGGCACTGGTGGCTCACGCCTATAATCCTAGCAACTCAGGAGGCAGAGTTCAGGAGGATTGTGGTTCAAAACCAGCCCCTGGAAAATAGTTTGCAAGACCCTATTCTCGAAAACGCCCATCACAAAAAAAAGGGCTGGTGGAGTGGTTCAAGGTGTAGGCCCTGAGTTCAAGCCCCAGTACCGCAAAAAAAAAAAAAAAAAAAAATTAAGATAATGACATTGTTGGGTTGGCAGAGTGGCTCAGGTGGTACAGTGCCTGCCTAGCAAATGTAAAGACCTGAGTTCAAGCCCCAGTAACATGCACACACACACGCTCACACACACAGAACAAAAAATAATGACACTGTCAATCCAGCTGGGTAGGACCATACCATTTTCTTTATTCAGACAGATGAATAAGTTATTTAGACCTGGTGCCTCTACTAATGGTCCTAAATCACTCTGAAGGCAGTAGATTAGTCTCAGTCTTCTCAAGACTTGTGTACCGATGAAGGTTCCCTCCTATGCTCAAAACAGAGGAAAGATTACAACACTTGTTAGTCTAAAATACCTGCTTTGGCCTGAGCGTTTGTCTCCTCAAAAACTCATGTTGAAACTTCCCCAAATCACAGGTTAATGGTATTTGGAGGTCGGGCCTTTGGGAAGTAATTAGTATTAGATGAGGTCGTGGGGTAGGATGCCATGTTTGCACTAGTGACTGTAAGAGAAGGAAGAGAGAGCCAAGTTAGCAAGCTTGTTCTGTCTCAACACGTGATGGGGGCCTTCTGCCCTGCTGTGAGCCTCTCCAGATCCTGAGTGCAGGCCAGTGTCAGGCTTCAGAATCATGGCTCAATGAGCCTTTTCCTTATGATTTACCCAGTGTGTGGTAGGCAGTTAGAGCAACAGGAAGTGGACTAATACAATATCCACTAAAACATGGCAAAGGAAAGCTAACTCTAAGTTATTATTTTAAAGTGTAATTTACTTGTAACCTTTCAACTTGATAAAATTTAAAGTCTGTCCCTGTCTGTTTCTCTCTCTCTCTCTCTCTCTGAAGTCTTGTTCTCACTCTTTCCCTGAAATATATCCCATCTGGTCATGGCGTATTATTTTCTTATGTGGTGCTGGATTCTGTTTGGTAATGTTTTCTTTAGTATTTTTGATGTTGGTCGATAATTTTCTCCTTTTTGTATCATCTTTATCACATTTAGCTATCAGTATTTTCCTTGCTTCAAAAATTGAATTTGAGCTGGGCGCTGATGGCTTGTTCCTGTAATCCGAGTTTCTTAAGAGGCAGAGATCAGGAGGATCATGGTTTGAGGCCAGCCCGGGCAAATAGTTCTCAAAACTCTAACTTAGAAAAAACCCAACACAAGATGGACCTCATATACCTTATGAAAGAGAACAAAGAAACCTCTTGCAATTTTTAAGTGGGGCAGGGAGGGCTTGAGGGGGAGAGAGGATGGGGGCAATGTAACCAATGTACAATGTAAGCCTATTTGGAATTGTCAATATGCATCCCCCCTGTATAACAAATATATCCTAATAAAAATTTTATAATAAAAAAAGAAAAAAACAAAAAAGAGAGAAAGAAATATAAAAAGTTACCAAAAGCAAAATTAATTATAATGGTCTGTTTGGAAAGCTACATGGGATAATAAGAGGCTTTGCTGAAGGATTTGCTGGCTGAAAAAACTGTCCAATAAACAAACAAACAAAAACATCACACAAAGGGCTAGTGGAGTGCCTCAGTGGTAGAGCACCTGCCTAGTAAGTGTGATGCCCCGAGTTCAAACCCCAGTGCCATCACCAACTACAAAAAGGAATTTAAAAGTGTTTCTTCATTATTTATGCTTCAGGACAATTCATATAGCATTTACACTGTCCAATAAGTGAACAGTTTGGTAGAATTCCTAAAATTCTGAGAAACAATCTTGGTATGGGGCTCTTTGGTGTTCCTTGATAACTTCTTCCATTTTTTTCCTATGGAAATTGGTGTAAAGGCTTTATATATTTAATGGGTCAATTTTGGTAAGTTGTATTTTCCTAAGTCTACCTACTTCATCTAATTTTTAAACTTTTTGTGCAGTAGTCTGCAACATCACCCTGTTTGACATTTCCCTCCATCTTTTTCAAGGATTACCTCTCCTTTGTTTTCATTTTCTATCTTTTTTTCTAGATGAAGTTAGCTGGTGATTTAGTTTATCAGTGTAGTCATTTCAGTATCCACAGGGAATTGGTTCCAGGATCCCTACAGATACCCAAGTCTGAAGCTGCTCAAGTCTTTGTATAAAATGCATATTAGCATACAACCCACAAACATCCTACTGTATTCTTGAAACATCTCTAGATTACTTATAACACCTTTCTGTGTTAGTTAGCTTTCCACTGCTGTGACAGAATGCCTGACATAAACAACTTAAAAGGAGGGGGGAGGTTGGATGCAGTGGTTCACCCCTGGAACACAAGCTACTTGAGTGGTAGAGATTTAGAAGTTTGCAGTTCAAAGTCAGCCCAGGCAAAAAGTTAGCAAGACCCTCATCTTAACAACAACAAAAAAGCTGGGCAATGGTGGTACACATCTGTAATCTCAGCTACATGGGAGACATAAGTAGAAGGAACATAATTCAGGCCAGTCCAGCCCCACTAAAAAAATGCAAGACTCTAAAAAATAACTAAAGCAAAAAGGGCTAGAAGTGTGGTTCAAATGATGGAGTAGCTGCCTAGCAAGCACAAGACCCTGAGTTCAAACTAGAGTACTGCAGAAAAAGAAAGAAAGAAAGGAAGGGAGGGAGGGAGGGAGAAGGGAGGGAGGGAGGGAGGGAGAAAGGAAGGAAGGAAGGAAGGAAGGAAGGAAGGAAGGAAGGAAGGAAGGAAGGAAGGAAGGAAGGAAGGAAGGAAGGAAGGAAGGAAGGAAACAAAGGGAAAGATTTACTTTAGCTCATGGTTTCAGAGGTTTGTTCCATTATGGCTGACTCTGCAGTGAGGCAGAACATGGAGGTGGGAGCATGGGGGCTGCTCACCTTATGGCAGACAGGAAGCAGGAGAAGGAACACAGGCTGGAACCAGGGCAAGATATATCCCCAAGGATGTACCACTAGTGGCCTGCTTCTGCCAACCAGGCCCACCTTCTAATTTTCACCTCCTCCCAATAAGCCATTTGATTATGACTCCTTAATGGATTAATTCATTGGTTAGGTCAGAGCCTTCAGGATCCAATCACTTCCCCATAGCCCATCAGCTAGCAACCCAATGCATGAACCTCTGGGGGGACACTTCTTATTCAAACTGTAGCAATACCTGCACAGTGTAAATTCTGTGCAAATAGTTACTGTGCTACACAGTTTAGTGAGTGACAAGAAAAAGCCTGTACATGTTTAGTATAGACCCAATTTTTCCCCAGATACTTTTGATCTGAGATTGGTTGACTCAGATGCAGACTCCACGGATGCAAAGGGCTGACTGTATTTCTAAGATTTTTGTCTCTCAACATCAGAGATTTTCAAACTATAGCCTGTGTGCCAAATCTGGCCTGCTGCCTGTTTTCATAAATGCAGTTTTACTGGACAAAAGGTGAGTTGAAGAAATGTGACAGAACTGTCTGGCCTAGAAAGTCAAAGATATTTAGTCATCTG